GTGTCGGGCTATATGGCACCTCCTTCCAATACAAAACTACTTAGTTTACATTGAGAGTCTGCTTTCCAGTTCATAGCATGTGGCAACATTTGCTGCTCTGCCTTGCAGCCCCGTGTCTTTCTTGAAATCTCAGGAGCAAATCTGATTGTCAATCAGTCTTGATGGTTTTCTTCTGTAGCTTTCTTGCTTCTCAGAATTAAAAATGGCCAGCGCTTTGCTTCGGCTAAGGCACTAAGGCTTTGGCTATGGGAATTGTGGCTTGCTAGTCAATGTGATAAAGTCACCTGGCACATTGGAATAGCACTCCCATTTCCTTCAGCCACCTTTCTTCTCCATCCATAACTTGGCCAGCGGGTACAAGAGGTCCGTCTTGGCTCTGGAAGCACATTTTTCATTGAATTTAATAATTTCTAGCTTGTGAATTTAAATAGAGTCTTTCTCTCATGAGAACACTTGAAGGCCCCTGTTACTATCTGACCCAACTTAAATCTTGTGTCTCAGGGAATGAGAAGTCCCAAGAGAAACGGGGAGCGGGGAGAGAGGGGGGGAGGGAGAAAGGGAGGGAGGGAGGGAGAGAGAGAGAGAGAGAGAGAGAGAAGATGTGGGAGTCAGTCTGTAGAGCTGTGAGGTTCATCATCTTGCATGGATGTAGCGCATGTGCCCCCAAACAATCCCAGCATATGCTAATGGTCACTGATCATAGCAAACCATCACAGAATAATAATGAAAAACTTCTAATTTTGTGAGAATTACTAAAACATGATGTAAAATGAATGGTGCTGTTGCAAAATGGGGTGAATAGAAAGGTGTACGGAAAACCTTTCATTCGTAAAAGCAAACAAATAAAAAAACTAACCCACTGTCTGTGAAAATTAATAATGCAAAGCACAGTGCATCAAGACACACGTATATTAGACCTTTCAGTTCAATAGCCTGGCATACGATTGCTTCATTAGGTTGTCTATAAATTCTCTTTCAACACAGGGAAGATTTTACAGTGTGGGTCTTGCATGGATATTTTTAAATGGGTCCCAAAGTATTTCATATTTTATGATATCATATTTTTAATTTCCAACTTCAAAGACCTATTCCTAACATATACAAATGTATTTTTTATATTGATTTTCTGCTTTGAGCTTTGCAAAGGTCTATTAGTTATTTGAAGTAGGATTTTTTGCATAATACTCAAGGTTTCCAAAGTGTATGATTTCCAACAATGACAATTTCAACATAAATCTAGCTTACTTCTCCAATTTATATGTGTTTATTTCTTTTTCTTGGCTTATTGCTGGCTAGGACATCTAATACCATGCTGATCAGAAGTAAGATTGATCATCTTTGACTTTTTATGGTCTTAGGGAAATAATTTAGTCTTTCAAAATTAAGTAAGTACGTATCTCCCCCCACCAACAGATTCTCTTAATCAGATTAAAGTCACATATACATCTAGATTGCTGAGAACTTTTTACCTTAAATGGGTATTTTTCTTACTTTAATTTTTTCCTATGCCTGTTGAATGATTTTGTGATTTTTTTTTCTTTTTGAGTTTATATTACACGGTAGTTACCTTGAGTGGTTTTGCATGTTAGTCTAATTCTGTATTCAAAGAACAAAAGTCCCACCCACTTAACTATGGTGTACTTCCCTTTTTATATCCAGCTGCTCCTTTGTTATAAAGGGGTTAGATCTCAGTAAACCCACCATAAATTGAAACAATAATAATTTGAAAATGTTTCTAATGCTAGAAAAGAAAAATAAAGACATTCATAATCTTATAGCTTAGGCACACAGTGCTCTGAAGGCTTCTACTGGGAGTCCTTGTCATTGTATGACTGACTGCCATCTGCTGCTCTCACCGCTGCCCAGCATCTCAAGAGGACATGGCGAGGCACACTGCTAGTCTACAGTAACTGCCCATGGTAGGGCATGCCTGCAACCACAGTATTTAGAAGGCTGAGGCAGCAGGATCTTGAATTCAAAACTAATTCAAGGCTGTGCAAAGATAACAGTCTCTTTAAAATAAAAAATACACTGAAAACCCAGTAAAGATAAAAGTTCAAAATATTGTTTCTTTTGAACGCGCATAATTTTTCCATCGTCATAAAGCTGAAACACATTTAAGTGGAACTGTCGTGCATCAGAGACTTTCTGTGGTATGAATAAATGAAGAGATCAAGATGGGGTGAATGAGGGACACGGAACACAAAAGACATCATGGGAAAAAATCATGATGCAAAATAATATTTCTTACCTCTAAAGGTGAGTGTATTCATCTTAACAAGTCACTGTGGGTTGGGTCGCTTAGAAAACATGAGTAGTAATAACTCCTTACAGCTACGGACTTGTATTTGCTTATGTTTTTGTGAATTTTGTATGAATTTTACAATGGACAGTGCTCTACACTTTTCTTCCCTTGTTTTTTCATTTATTTTTAGGTAGACAGGTGTGATGCAAACAGTTTCGTCAATATAAGTTTTATAAATGAAGTCAAAGATAAGGCTCTTTGAGAGGTTAGAGTGTGTCCCTGAAGCCCAGAACACTGTAAGACCCACACAGTTAACCCAATATTTTATGTAATTCTTATACACATTAAGTTATAGAGATAAAGGACAGGAATGAACTCCGTAAATATTTAAAATTAGGTTTCCCACATAGAACTAAGAGTTTCCAGACATTTCAGAAAGTCTGCCAAATAGTAAAAGAAGATAAGAAAAGAAACAAATCAAACATAAGTAAATTTTTTTTTAAAAAAAGGCTGGAGAAAGAAGAAAATTATAAGCAAGTCTAAGTTTTTCATAATGACTTCATAATACATTATAACCAGTTCTAAAGACCAAGAATAAATGAAAGAGGGTCAGTTGTGGAGCACAAAGAAAGTTATGGGAAAAACCAAGATGCAAAATAATATTCCTGATTTTTAAAGTTGAGCAAATTCACCTTAACAAGCCACTACAGGCTGCATTTCTTAAAAAGCACAGAGAGTAATCATCTCTTACAGCTATGGGGGCTGGAAGTGGGGCATGAGCAAGTTCACAGGCTGAGTTCCTTAGGTCTGCCTCCTCGGCTTGCAGTGGCCATGTCCTCACTCAGCCTTTCTTCCGAAGAGTCACAGCCCTGGTCCCTGGTGTCGCTTGCTCTTTCCATAAGCATGAGAGTCCTATTAGATTCTATCCCACCCTCATGATAATTGTCTCCTTAAAGGCTTTATAATCCAAATATGGCTACACTGGGTGTTTGGACTTCCACATATGCACTCCATCCATAACAGTGAGTAGTTGGAAACTGGTGGCTGGAGGGGCTGTTATGAGAATAGACTAACGACTGGACCGTGTATTTAAGGAACTTAACCGAAGGGCTTAAAATGCTAACTTTAAGAGAGGGTCTAAACAGACAAAGGTAGAATGAGAAACAAGTTTCAGCAAGGAAAGAAAGGGGCCAATCTTATTATTCTATGAGGTGCGGCCATGGGTGCTGAGAACTGAACTCAGGTCCTCTGCAGGAACAGGGAAAGTTCGTAACCACGGGGCCATCTCTCAGCCCTTGGATGTTACTCCGAATAGGTAAACTAAGAAATGCTGGTAGAAGTAGATTAACTATCCAGAATAACAGGTTAACAAGTTTTAGACATTTTAAAAATGGCTAACCTTACGAAGTATCACTGAAGAGGTCTGTTTTCTTTATTTTATTTTATTTTATTTTTTTATCATAAGTCTTTCCTTACTTTTGCCCATACCGGCATACCTGATTTAAACTTAGAAGCAAAAACAACAACAACAACAACATCAGTAACAGTAACAACAAACCATTAATATACAAAGGAAACATAATTACCATGGCTGCTTAGGTTCTTCTTCGATGTTTTTTTTTTTTTTTTTTTGGTTTTTCGAGACAGGGTTTCTCTGTGGTTTTGGAGCCTGTCCTGGAACTAGCTCTTGTAGACCAGGCTGGTCTCGAACTTACAGAGATCCGCCTGCCTCTGCTTCCCAAGTGCTGGGATTAAAGGCGTGCGCCACCACTGCCGGGCTTCTTCGATGTTTTTTATAAAATTGGGTCACCTTTGGAATTTGAAACTAATAGTTTTAACTTGAATTCTCATTCCCCATTTTCTATTTTCTTTGCAGGAATCTGGGGTAAAGCACAGATTTTATGATCTTGAATTCCTTCTGATATAGGATCTCAGTATGTAGCCAATCCTGGCTTCTAATTTGAACATCCATGACAGCCTCTAACTCATGACCCTGCTGCCCCAGTCTGCCAAGTGCTGGAATTATAGGCATGTGACATGTGATCAGGCTCCTCTGAACCTCTCTTAAATGTACAGTTCAGTAACATTAAATATGTCTTTCCCGGTGTTTGTGTTCATTTTGTCGAATTTTGTCATCCAATTATGATGACCATTGCCCCTGGCAAACAGAGCAACTGTGGCTACCCACCCGAGACTCTCAGAAGGCTGGGTCCGTCAACACTCCCTCATGGAGGGATGGGAAGGCACACGATGCCCACAAAATGTGGTGGTTTGGGTGAGAATGGCCCCCACAGGCCCGTGTGTTTAAATACTTAGTCATCAGCTGGGAGACTGTTTGGGAAAGATTAGATGTGGTCTTGTAGTAGGTGTGTCACCGGGAATGGGCTTTGAGGTTTCTAAAGTCCACTCTAGGCCCAGTGTCTCTCTTTCTCTCTTTCTGCCTGCCTACAGCACAGAATGTAGCTCTCAGCTACTTCTCCGGTGCCATGTCTGTGACACCATGCTCCCTGTCATTATGATAATGGGTTATCATAGTGAAACTGGCTAAGCAAGCTCCTGATTAAATGCCTTCTTTTGTAAGAGTCACTGTGGTCATGGTGTCTCTTCCCAGCAACACAACAGTGACTAAGACACCACGCCCCTCCAGTTGTTGGTATGAGCAGAGTTCTTTGATGGTGTAGCTTCACATAGGTTTGTTACGCCATTATGTAATCCCCCACTAATTCTTCCATAAGTATCCCCAGTTCAGTTCATTGGTTCATGCAGCTAGACTTGGCTGGAAGTGTTTTTTGGCTTCCTGTCTGGCATCTTCACATCTCCCCAGGAAAGGTCATGACGCATTTGACATCCAAACAGGGGCCTGACAGAAACAAAGAGAATGAATCCGAGCCCAATATCTACAGGCAACTGAAGCAGCGGCAGCAACTATACCCGCTGAAGAAGGACACAGTGTATGTACTCAGGCACTTCCTTCTGCTCCCCCAATACACTGTCCAGTCCCCCCAGTGTATTGGATGGTGTCATTCAAATTCTGAGTGGGTCTTACCAACCCAACGTGCTGATCCACATGCTATGTTTCCCAATAAATAACATAAACGTGCCCACAAATATGCTTTGCCAGTTTTCTAGATGTAATTCAATGCAGTCAATAACCAAAAATAACTAAAATACTATATATTATAGAATCAGAACATCACATAGTACATAAATACGACATTTATACTACAAAATCTCTAGAGAGGAATTCTGGGTAAGACTGTGTTAAAAGTTGTCTTCATGCAATGCGATGAAGATGAACCAGGGAAAGGAGTAGACACTACTCCAAAAAGGGATGGGAAGAGCTCTCAAAATCCCAAAGAGGTGGTAGGACAGCTGATAAGCATGGGTAAACAGAAGGGGCAGCGCAGCAGAGAGAAGTAAACCGTGCCAAGCACAGCTCCAACTGTGTGGCTGCCCAACAGGGAGAGGGGCCACAGTCTCACTCCAGAGATAAGCCAGGTAGCCTCAGTGAAGAGTCTGGCGGTCCTACCCACAGGACAAGCCCCTGGTTCTCTAGGCCTCAGCTCCAGCTGTGGTTTTGGTGAGACAGTGACTCCACTTGTGGGATGCATCAGCAGAGAAGGAATTCCATTTTGTCACCGCCCTGGTCTTAGCGGGCTGTGGCCAGATGCCATCTAAGAGGGAACCGATTGTTTAAAACTGATCTACTCTGGAGCCCTGAGATCCGTGAACAATCCTAAGTCAGCAAGCTGCAAGCCTACCCTCCATAGCCCTGAGAGAGATGGAGAGATGTGCATGGGGGGAGCGGTCAGGGACAGCATCAGGACCGGATGTTGGCAAGCCAAACAGAGCAGGCAGTGTGAGGTGAGGCTCAGGCAGAGAAGGGCACAGAGGGAGGTAGCCCCACGCTCGATGATCAGAGGCAAACCCCACTAACTGATAGTTCCAAGTCTGAGGCCATTAGGTGGATCCATGGCTAAAGCCACCCATCCGCCATGAGGTTCCCTGCTGTAGAGAACAGGATCTCTTGAGTTGTACACTGCTACTCCCTGCCAGCAGAGTGATTTAATGCTCAGTGTGTCTTGAAATCATGGAGGCAGCTCTGCCTGTACCCGTCTCAGTGCTACATCTGCTTCCTCTATTCCAGAACACTGGGAGGACTCTGCACACCAGTTAGAACATGAGCTATGACCGGGTGTACAAAGCAGAGAATACTGGCAGGGTGGGAGACCCTTCCCAGACTGTGATTGCAAAGACAGAGCATGGCCAGCTGAGGCCTCTGCTATGCAAAGAAAGCAAGCTGCTAAGATGAAGACAATTCTGGCAGCCACTTGACACTGGTCCAGGGCGGGCTTAGCACCAGCGGATGTCACAAGAAATAAGAGAGCCCGCAGTCTGAGCTGGGGTTTATGTCATAGCTCATGTCCATTTGACAGTTTCTAATCTCTGAAAACTCAGAAAGTGCCAACACTTCTTCTCTCTCCCTTTTGGGGGCTGGGGTCCTTTTGATTTCCTTTTTATTGCACTTGTAGCCGCTCTTAATCCTACTGTTCAAAAACATGCTCATGTTTTTATTACATTCCCCTTTTTATGTTCTCTAATTCTGTTTATTCATGTCTTTATTCTTGAATTTTCTTTCTCCTTTGTGTGTTTTTTCAATTATTATTATTATTACTAAACATTTAGTAGTATTTTGATTTTGTCTTACCATTACTGGCTATAGAAATTGTTTCTAATTTTTATTTCCCTTCTCTCATTTCTCTAATTTTGCTGAAGAACTTACATTCCTTTTGATTGTGTGTTTGATGTTTATATGTGAGGGAGATCATGCATGTGGAGGTCAGAGGACAGCTTTCGGGGGTCAGTGCTTTCCCTTCACTGTGGGTCCTAGGGATCGAACTCACGTTGTTAGGCTTGCGTGAGGATCAATCACTGTGATGACTGATCAATGTGACTACATCTGGAATCAACTGAAACTCAAGCAGCTGGGTATGCCCGTGAAGGACTTTTCTTGGACCATTGGAGGTTGTAAGAATCACCCTAAGGCTGGGCCATACTTGGGCAACTCACACAGAAGACCATGAAAGAAGGAAGAGGGACGTTTCTGCTTCTTTCCTTCTTGTCCTCACTTTTGTTGTTAATTTAATCTATCCTGTCCTGCTGTTGAGACATCTCTTCCCTGGTATTAGAGCCTGTTTCTTTGGGATTCCATTGTATACCAAAGACCAGCCTCATGGACTGAACAACTGTCAGATTCTTGGCCTTTCTGTAGGTAGACAGTAATTGCTGGACTAGCCAGACCACAGCCTGTAAGTCACTCCAACTAATTCACTTTTAACAGACATGGATTCATCCTAGCAGTTCTGTTCTTCAGAGCCCTTGCTAATCTCGCCACTGCTACTGTCATTGACTCTAGCTTCTTTAACCTTTCAGTGTGGACTGAAGACCAGTGGTTCACCAAGAGTCAAGGTCTTCAGGGCCAGATTTGGCTGCTGAGGTCTCTAGCCTCACAGACTGAGTAACTCTTGGGTTCTTAGCCTGTCCGGTGGGAAGATAGGCATTGCTCAATTACCTAGACTGTATTATGTATGCCAATCTAATAAATCCCCCACTTTGCTCACAGCTGTTTTATTAGTTTTGTGCCTCTGGAGAGCCCAGGTAAAATGCTGGATGTTGAATTCAGAGGTTCAAGTATAAACGTGCTCTGTGAAGATACAAACAAAGAGATGAATGAAGTGAGAAAATCAATCCAGGACCTGGGAAGGGAAGCCAGTAATATACATGTGGAAGTCAGGGATGAAGATCAGGAATGTGGGTGAGAAAGTGTCCTCTCTGGTGCAAGGATAGGCAGTGTCCTCACTGGCTGCAGGGTTATGCATGTCCTCACTGGCTGCAGGGTCATACAGTATCCCCACTGACTGCAGGGTAGGCAGTGTCCCCACTGGCTGCAAGGGTGTACAGTGCCAGGGTAGGCACTGACTTTCACTGGTTGCAGGGTTATGCATTGACCCCGGCTAGGTCTGCTTCAAAACACCTTTCTTCCCTGTTAATCTAAGTCCTCTCCCAGATTTTCCTGTCAGGGAATAACAGAGATCCACTTGTCCTTGGAACAGAGTGCCTCTGGATTGTGGATTAAGTCTCTGATACATAGAAACATCTTGTCAGAAGTAGAAGAAAATGGCACCAACCTACAGAGATGAGGGATGAAGGCAGATAGAGTCTGACATGAGTAATATCTGGATTAAGCAGCCACTGAGCATGCCTGTGAGTGGTTACCCATGGGCTGAGGGCCTGAAGCGAACATAAAAGAGACCGTGAGTGGAGTGTGGGCATCTGTGCCTCACTGCTCCCTGGCTGTGGGCATCATATGACCCAGCATCACAAGCCCTTGCCTCCATGACCTCCTCAACATGATAGACTATTCCATTAACTGTGAGCTGAAACAAACCCCTTCTCCATTCAGTTCCCTCTTGTCAGCTCTTTAGTCAGAGCAAGGGGGACATTGCCTAATACACCATCCACTCTGGAAGCTTCTCAAAGGCCAACTCAGCAGTTCCTCCTTGCTTCCGCGAGCTGTTCTGGCATCTTCTCTGTAGTTTCTCTGCCTCTTGTGTGGGGTCAGTTCTGGATATTTGTAATCAAAAGATCTCAAGCTAACACCCATTCTTTGAGCTCTTCGTGTACACCAGGACCTCTTTACATGCTTGTTAAAACACCCTGTGTTCTTGCTGCACGTGGCTCTCCGGATCTATTTCATGCCCGTCTCTTCGCCATGACACTGACTGTGTTTCTACCGTCCGCTAACTTTAACCCAGCACACAGAGTCCTGTTTTACATATAGCAAGCCCTCAAACACTTGGCAGACTAATAAATAAACAACTTTCTGGCTAATTAGGTATGAAGTAGGGAAGGAAGGGAACAGATTTCTTGGCTTTGTCTGGAGGGTAGGCATGGTATCACAGACTTAAACTGAGAACACATGAGGAAGAGCCTGGGTAGGATTTGGAAGAACACGAGCTAGGTTTTGGACAAGAATTTGGGCTCACATGGCACATTCACCACGGCTTTGTAGCCAGCAGTGGGCTTGTCTATGCTTAGTTTAGCAGACAGACAAGGTTGGAGATCTGATTAGGGAGGTGTTAGCAAGGTATGTCAGAAGCTTGGGGGGAATGACACCCTACGTGAGTATACAATTCAGGAGAGAACCGGCAACTGAAAAGGGACTCCAAGGAAACCCCCCTCAGTTGTTCTAGATCTGGAGCTGAATCCTGGCTCCCAGAGTTTGCCTCTTTCCTATCTCCCTACAGGGCCAGGAGAATCACTAGCCACCAAGTCTATTCTTGAGTGGAGAGTCTTAGGGGGAGATGCTGTGAACTGAGCCCAGCACATTGACCTTTGGGCAAACAAGGCCCTCCAGAGCAGGGTAGAGTTTCACCTCCACATGGCCCCTGACTCTGTTGTCCATCCAGGGGCTGTCTTAAAGCATGTAATATGTGCCAGGAGCCTCAGAAGCATGTCTATATGTAGGCAAGGTTAATATTTAGCTTTCTTGGCTATAAAGTATTATTGTGCCCACTTTACAAACAGATCAGAAACTTGGGATGGTCACACAACTTACCCTGGATCGGACATTTGGCAGCTGTCCTGCCAGAACTGGAAACCTTCGTCTCTGCAGACAGGTTTTCTTTTCATCTGTCTTATGCCCTATGGAGAGGAGGGGGTGGATTTAACTATTGAACACTATTGGAACAAAAGGTCTCCTAGGGCAGGCAGCAGCCTGAACAGTAACTGTTTGCCAGTCCTCGCCAAGCCTCCTCACAGGCAATTGAGGTCAAGCTGCAAAGACACCTGGTGTGGGAGTCTTTCTCTGGAGTGCCACCAGCTACATCTGTGTCACAAGTTCCAGTAACTCCTGCTCCAGAGCAGGTGCCGGCTGGGCCGGTCTTCACCGTAGCTTCCCCTGCTTCTCTTTGCCCACTCCCAGAGAACCATGGGAATTAGGGATCCAGCACTAGGTACTGAAATGCACTTTCTCTCTCTCTCTCTCTCTCTCTCTCTCTCTCTCTCTCTTTCTCTCTCTCTCTCTCCTTCCTCCCCCTCTCTCTCCTTCTTCCCCCTCCTCCTCTTTGTTTTCCTCTCTCCTCCTGTTTCTCCCCAATTCCTCCTCTTCCTCTATGGTTCAGTCTCTTACCGTGCAGTCCAGGCTACTCTTGAGCTCGCTATGTGGTCCAAGTTGCCTAAAACCCACAATTCTTTTGCCTTCATCTCCCAGGTGCTGGGCTGGCAGATGTTCCCCACCATGCCCAGCCAAGATGATTAGTTCCTTAGGAGAGGTAAGTGGAAGTGTTCCTTAGGAGAGGTAAGGTTTCTAAAGGCTTAAAATTAGCAGAGATCTCCGCCCCCACCAAAATCTCCTAGAAACAAAACCAAAACTCTGGAAAATGAGCTTGGCTTCAAGTACACTTTGGATGCCATTGCTGATCTACAGCCAGTCTATGAGCTTAGATCCATAAAACCTGTAACTGGGTTTCCTCTGAGTATAACCACATCTGGCGTATTTGGACACAAGCCGTCTTCAGGCAGGGGAAGGATAAAAAAACAGGAGAGGAAAGGGGATTCCCATATTTTTCCTTGAGATTTCTAAGAAAACAAAAATTATTTTCAGAAAAAGAAACACCTCACACCCTCTAGATACTGCCCCCTGCCAACTTCTTATGGTGACACAGAAAACTGATCCCGGTCAGTATGCACCATACAGTCCCATGCTGGGGGAAATAGAACATTACCCATCTCGTCCCCTACCCCTGGCCACGGCTAACTAGGCAAAGAGTAGCTTCACAGTTTATCAAGGGCCAGCATACCCAGAATAGCACCCTTTCCAAAAGCAAGGAGAATACGCGTCCCGGGTAAGACTCTCAATCTAAAGCTTCTAGCTAAGATGAACAGACCAATGTCTTAGCACAATTCTCACCCTCATTTTATATATTCATAATTTAGCAGATATTTCCTGGTCTTCTTCCCTGCTGGCAGTCCCAGAAGACGGAAGTAGACATGTAATATGCTACAGTGTTCTCGCAGACCTCGCCGCCTGGTGGGAGCAGCTGCCCAGCAAATGACCCATTCTAGCAGAGAGAGCGGCGAGGTCAGTGATGGAGATGTGTCCCAGAGGCTGCTCCGACACTCACACTGGGTGCAGAGTGGGGACAGAGCCAGGGAAGACTTCCCGGGGGGGAGGCTTCCCTGCATTGGGTTCTATTGGACCGAAGAAATAAAACCAGGCAAAGTGGAGAGAAGGCATTGTGAGCCCAGCGAGTAGCAGAGGAAAACAAAAGCAAACGAAAGGAACGGCTCTTGGCACTTCTTCGGAGCTAGCAAAGGCCAAGTGTACCTTGAACCATGAGTAAGGACAGACAATAGAAAAGGTGAAGTTTGAGCAGAAGGCAGCGGCTCGTGATGGAGGGATGTATTGTGCGATTTTCTTTGTAGTTAGTGATGTTTTCAGGAAAGGACAAAGCATGCTGCATTGCAGGTCTCCTGAGTCACGTGGGCTCTGCCGGACTGTTTGACTCCACTACCGTAGCACGAAAGTAGCTGCGGTCTAAGGATAAAGCAATGACCGTGTTCCAGGAAAACTACTTGCAGAAATAGGCAGTAAACTGGGTTGGCCTGTGGGCCAGTCTGCAAATCCCCGCGGTCACTCAGTCATCCAGGAACAGGCGGGCCAGCTCATCTCCATTTGCCCAAAGCTTCTTAAACGCTTAGCTCTAAATGTCTCAAACCTTGGAGGCTCTCAAGTCCTAAGTAACCAAGGACAGTTGATTACCTCCCCTAGGAGCTCGACTAAAAAGTACAGACTCTTAACATCGCCTGCTGAGTCAATGAACCCCAGCCTGGAGCTGGGAGAGATCTGGGGGATGAGACTGGCTCTCCAGGCAGGAAATCATTCCTCCACGCCCCTACCTAGTTATCATGAGGGTGCAGTCAGTGTGGCCCTTTAAGAAAGTGAACTCAACTGGGTAATAACTCTTTATTGTTTTTATTGAGCTATAATTTTTCTCTTCTTCCCTCCCTTCCTCTCCCCTCCCCTTCAACTCTCTCCCATGGTCTCCATGTTCCCAATTTACTCAGGAGATCTTGTCTTTTTCTACTTCCATGTATGTCTCTCTCAGGGTCTTCTTTGTTGTCTAGGTTTTCTGGGATTGTGATTTGTAGGTTGGTTTTCTTTGCTTTATGTCTAAAAGCCACTATGAGTGAATACATGTGATATTTGTCTTTCTGTGTCTGGGTTACCTCACTCAATATGATGTTTTCTAGATCCATCCATTTGCCTGCAAATTTCAAGATGCCATTAATTTTTCTGTGTAGTACTCCATTGTGTAAATATACCACATCTTCTTTACCCATTCTTTGGCTCAGTGGCATTTAAATTGTTTCCAGATTCTGGCTATGACAAACAATGCTGCTATGAACATAGTTGAGCACATGTCCTTGTGATATAATTGAGCATCCTTTGGGTATATACCCAATAGTGGTATTGCTGGGTCGTGAGGAAGGTTGTTTCCTAATTTTCTGAGAAATCACCATACTGATTTCCAAAGTGACTGTATCAGTTTGCACTCCCACCAGCAATGCAGGGGTGTTCCCTTTACCCTGCATCCTCTCCAACATAAGCTGTGGATAATAACTCTTGGTATGAGGCTAGGCATTTATGCAAAAAGCTCTTTGCTAAGGAACCTCGGCACCATGAACAGAGAAAGATTCCTTGGGCAGATCACAGGAAGAGATGAACCAGATGGGGTCCCCGCGCCCCCACCTTCTTCACTGTCTAAAAGCACCACGCCCAGGTCAGTGTGCCTCCCAGAAATGAAGAAGGGAATAAATCCTGCACCGGAGTCGCAGCTATGTGTTCCACTAAGGCACACATATAGATAACCAAGAGCAAACAGAGATAAACTTTGTGTCCCAGATACCAAGTTTTGGAAGCTGGTCACGGCCGGCCCTTATCAGCAATAAGCCTACAACGCCAGATCTGAAAATTTCCTTTCTCAAGCAGCAGGTGTCTGAGTTCTGCTCACAAACGGCAGCTGTTTGGTTGAAGCAAACAGAGTTTACTCCCCTGCTTCCCTCAACCAGTCCCTTTCCGAGTCAACTCTGCAGCCGTGGGGGAATTTTCCACTTGATTGCAAGTGGTGTTTGCTCTCGTCTGGACTGTTCCTTTCCGATGCAGGTGAGTCTTATTCCGAGAACATCAATACATGGGAACTCACATTCACAGTCCAGATAACTTGAACTGCATACAGAGCCTGAATGTTTAAAAGCGGCGTTCACTTGCATGGTGCGGCTTTTTTTTTTTTTTTTTGGCTTAATGAGCTACTAGGCATATAAGCATCTCAAGCCATCAGAAATGAAGACAAAATACATTTTTGAGGCAATTGAAAGAAGCCTTGTGGAGGTGAGTGGCCGGGCTTGGTGGTGATATTACAACAGTGCCCGAGTCAAAGCAGGGCACATGGAACCCTTGTTTGTGCTCGGTAGACGTGTAACTTTGGACATGCTGTCATCCCATTTGTGAGCATCCCTGTACATTGTTAAGCACCAAACATCTTTCATTTTGAGTACTTTGAAGCAGGAGTAAAAATTAACGCACCTCTATAGGACTGTTGCAAAGACTACCTAAAGTATTGCATAGAAAGCGCATACGGTCAGCCCATGATAAAGGATGCTAATCTCACCCATCTTCGACGAGTTGCTTTAGCTCTATAGGCCCACATGCTTCTCATTAGTGGAACAAGGGAGTTGATCTCCAGAGTTAATTTCTATGTTAATCACAAAACCTCTTGCCCATGTAGAGAAATGAAAGAAGGGAGAGAAGGGCTTTGTGGACATCGCAGCTCAGGAACAGCTTCTAGGGATGCAGCAAGGGGTTTGAAGGTGATTTATATAGGGGCAGGGTGTCATCTTCTGATACGTGGAGGAGAGAGGGGCAGATGCTCTGGATACACAATCTATTTCCAGACTAGAACAAGGACAGCGATACCTCCTTAGTTACTTGCAAAGGCTGTGTCTGACTCTCAGACGCTGGACACGCCTGAGGGTTGTGCTAAGGCTGTGTCTGAGGGTTTGTGCTAAGGCTGTGTCTGACGCTCAGACACTGGACTCCTGAGGGTTGTGCTAAGCAGCTTGTTGAACCTCGCTTTCTGCTACAAAGAGAGCAACTGCTAGGTGTTTGGCCTCTTTAACCTGCATTGTATTAAATGTGTTAGCAAAGCCCCGACCGCTCCACGCCATTCTCAAACACCATCTTCCAAGTTCTGTGTTTCATACAGGAAGACAGACTTTTTAAAAGGCTCCTTTCCTAAAGAAACCCACAAATCCTCAGACTATAGTGTCTGAGAAGATCAGCAAGTATGCAATTTCAACACAGGTCCATTACTGCCGAGGAGGGAGTGTACACGGGGTTATTGAAAACTTGGGGAGACACCTGGTCAGAGAAGAAAGGGTCCGAAAAAGCTCCCCAGTGAAAGAAACTTGCTTTAGAAGCATGCATGGAGTTACCGGGTAAAAAAGGAGGCTGCATTCAGGAGCGTGCGCACACATGTGTGTGTGGTGTGGTGTGCATGTTCATGTAGGTGCACGTGTATGCAGATGTATGCATCTGTCCTCATGTGTGTGAAGACCTTGGGTACCTTGTAAGCATACCACTGACTGAGCCATATTCCCAGACCTTAATTTAAAACTTTTCCTAAAACCGAATTTGAGTTAAAGAATTCAGGAAGAGTGAGTACATCCCATGTTCCTCTTTTTGGGTCTGGCTTACCTCACTCAGGATAGTGTTTTCTATTTCCATCCATTTGTATGCAAAATTCAAGAAGTCCTTGTTTTTTACTGCTGAGTAATACTCTAATATGTATATATTCCATACTTTCTTCATCCATTCTTCCGTTGAAGGGCATCTAGGTTGTTTCCAGGTTCTGGCTATTACAAACAATGCTGCCATGAACATAGTTCTCATCAGGCGATGAAAGGAGACAGAGACAGAGACCCACACGGGAGCACAGGACAGAAATCTCAAGGTCCAAATCAGGAGCAGAAGGAGACGGAGCACGAGCAAGGAACTCAGGACCACGAGGGGTGCACCCACACACTAAGACAATGGGGATGTTCTATTGGGATCTCACCAAGGCCAGCTGGCCTAGGTCTGAAAAAGCATGGGATAAATCCGGACTAGCTGAACATAGCGGACAATGAGGAATACTGAGAATTCAAGAACAATTGCAGTGGGTTTTTGATCCTACTGCACGTACTGGCTTTGTGGGAGCCTAGGCAGTTTGAATGCTCACCTTACGAGACCTGGATAGAGGTGGGCAGTCCTTGGGCTTCCCACAGGTCAGGGAACCCTGATTGCTCTTCGAGCAGATGAGGGGGGGGGGGACTTGATCGGGGGAGGGGGAGGGAAATGGGAAGCGGTTGTGGGGACGAGGCAGAAATCCTTAATAAATAAATAAATTAAAAAAAAAAGAATTCAGGAAGAAACAGATAGAGAAACAGAGAGAGAGGGCCAGGTGATGCTGGGCCTTATTCAAAGAGAAGAGCCTTGGATAGAAAGCTTGACCATGAGCTTGGGTGTTGTTCTTAGGCAACGGATACCACCGAAGATTTCAAATCGAGGCAACGAAGTGACGCAGGTTATAGTTCAGATCCATAGCACCGTGCGTGATAGCGGTGATGAGTGATAGGCACGGTCAAGGATGAGAGACGACCCAGAGAGTGGCAGGAGGAAGGAGTGGGTTTGGGTTCTTTGAGTGAACAGAACTGATAGGATTTTGCTAAGGGTTGAGAACTGGAGAGGCCTGAAAGGGCCTGGCACTGTTATGACAACATGAAGGACTGGACCGGGTGAAAGAGTAGGAGATTCAAGGGCAGGAGATGGGGAAACATAAAAAGATGGAGGCCTTCCATATGATCCAACCAAAAAGGGAGCTGAGAAGAAGCTGCTGAAGAAAGAGGAATTACGCCAGGCGAGCTGTCATGACGAA